CCTCTGATTGATCACCTGAGGCGAGCCATGAGTCAGCCACAGGAGCTCAGGTGAAGGCAATTCACCTGTGCTGCTGGAAGGGGTGGAGCCTGGCTGCACCTCTCCTAGACCTATTTAAGAGCTGGCTAGCAGGGCAGAAGGATCTTGTCTGGAGATCCACTCTGCTGGTGTTTTGTGAATGAGCCCAGGATAGGGGTAAGCCTTCCATTTATTGTCTTTTGTTATCATGGTCTGCTTTGCCTAACTCTCTTGTGATCATAGCATCCTCATATTCTTTGATTGTACATATGGGAATTAGCACAGCTAACAAGCAGCTGGTGAAACACTGTGCAAAATAGCTGATTTCAGTGAGACTGTGGTGTAGTAAGATACAGTAGTCTGTTTTATTCATGCTTCCCAGCACTGTAAAACTATTGTGTGTCTTTGACCACGCAGTATTCTGACATGCATGTTTTCAGGCAGTACCACTGAAAGTACGCTATTTTCCAAATAAATTTATTATATGCTTTGTCAGATCTTTGTTTCACACTTGCTTAGGCAAAAGTATGTTACATGTAGCCCTTTGCTCATGAAAAAAAGTCTGTTTTGTGGCATGAAGGCATTTAAAACAAGAGTAAACATGATTTTTATTACTGGGATACTAATAAACCCTATCTATGTATTGGAAGTGCACGCTGCTGTGTGCAGCACACACACAGAACAAAGAAAATCCCAGCTTGAAGAGCTTAAAAGTCTTAAACACACTGGATTTGAGGTTGTCCTACTAATAATGTATTATATGTTAAGAGCCTGTATTTAAAGAAGAGCCCCTGAAGTTATGGTGCTGAGATCAGCTTGATTTCTAAAATATTCAAATATTCTGATCTGCTGCAAACCTGGCAAAACTCAGTTGAAACCAGTTATCCTATCCAGTTTGATATCACAGTAACATAAATGCTTTTTTTAATATAAAAGCTTGGTCTGAAATCGTCTGCAGCTAGACAACCTACAAAAAATCCTTTTAACAATCAGTCTTTTCTTACTAAGTTTTCAGATAGCATCTCAGTTGTCTTAGATGTTATTTATTAAACATTGTTTAATTAAAATTGATTAACTCATTTGGGACCTGAATCAGTCACCCTTAATATTGCTGACATTTTTTTATCAACTTCATTAGCTACTAGATCTAGTTCTGAAGCCTTTTGGAAACCACCAGTAAGAATATACTCAGGAAAAGCAACTGAGCTGTCATTTGTTCAGCTACCTGGAGGCTGCAAATGTTCCAAGGTGTCCTGGTTTCAGTCAAAACAGTGTTAATAGAGCGCAGATGGTTGGTTTGACTGTGGCTGTAAGCAAATGAAAGTACTTGATAGTCTTTCCTGAAAATAGTGGGCATTAAGTCTACTTTCTTTGCTGGCAAGTGGCGTGTCTCAGAAGAGACACGCAGATGGCATCACCCAACACACTGAGGAATCCTCAGAGAGGCCAAGGACCAAATATTCATGAAGAAGTAATTGCCTTCCTGGCAAGCAGCAGTGTTCCATCAGGGTGTAACTGATTGCCAGAAGGTGGGAAAGGTTGGTGTTCCTGTCTGAAGTTGTTCTGTGCAACTGGCAGTTTGTGAGACACTAACAGGGTGAATGTTCATTGCATTTTCTGAACACAGGGTTCAGGCTGAAGTGATATTGCCAAATCCTTTGACAGCTCAGGCAAAGATTTAAGGACTGCAGATAGAGGATAGCTTGCAAGTTAAAACAGCCCAGCTGTAAATTAGAAAGGGGCTGCAATAGATATGCCTAAATTGAATACTTTCTACTCTTAAGGTAGGACACCTTCTGTCTCAGGCAGCAACAGCTGTTGCCTATAGTATCAATCTCAAATGTGGTGACTAGTGGGCAGAGAAGCACAAAGAAGCTCAGTTACATTTTTAACCCATTCCTGTTAACAGGATAGTAAATGGACAAGCAGCTTTTTGTTGTCCTCATGTTTCTCACTTAAGTAGTGTGCACAGTATATGGGAATGCAAGATAAAGAGGAGAATTTCTAGGGACTCAGTCTGAATTAGAACACAGAAGAATTTGGGTAGTTCTTGTACTCAGATTCTCAGATATTCGTTCTTGCATGCTCTCCTGCTCCTTGGTAACACCGTAGAAACAAAATGAACTTTGGGTTTGCACCATTTTCCTCTTAAATTCCACTGCTTGCTATTCTTTTAGAATATTGACAAAAATTACTTATAACAGAGTGGTCATAAATTCTATCTGGAAATATGGTCATGGAGATTTTTGTGCACCTGGCTTGGGAGTGTTCTGGCTACTGCAACAGCCTGGGGATGTTTGTTAGGTAATCATGTCCTGCAATGAAAGTGAAACAACAGGATGATGGTGAGGGGGAAGTGGGACATTTTAAAATAATTGAAGGTTTTGGAGGGAAGCTGTGCTTACAGTATCATTTAAAGTGCCTTGACTTTTTTCCTGAAATTTGTGAGGTGCTGAACTGCAGTGGCAAAGATGACAAGAGCCTTCTGTCACGCTGTGTGCTTTTCCTTACAGCTAGGGTATGAGTTCTAAAGAATTATTATTGTAAGCAGGACCAGAAATAGGAGCTGAGTCAGGAAATCTTCCTCAAGGTTTATTAAACCTGGAGTATTTGTCTCCTTTACCTCTTTTCCATTGCGTTGTCTGGTTTATTTAATCCCAACTGCAATTTCCTTCTGAGTTGTGTATTTGTGTGGCTACTAGAGATCTTCATTCTTGAAAAATAAGAACAATAGATACAGTGGAAAGGAAGTTCTTCAAAAAGACAGAGCTGGAGGTGGGACTCAATCTCACAACTTAAGAGACTGACCAAACTTTCTACCTCAGTCACAACTTGATCCTTATTTTCTCTTGGGCAATTCATTTAATTCACTTGATCCTTTTCATAAACATAGGCACAATACTCTTCCACATGCAAGCTGTAATTTAAAGTCCTGGAAGGCTCTTAAGCTGAGCTATGTTGCTATCTGATATCTAAGTACTACTGAGATGTAAATTCAGAATTATGTTATTATTCATTAACCATAATTTTTTACATTTTGTCCAAACCAAATAAGTGTCAATTTAACTTGTGTTGCACATGACCTTTCTGTAATTCATATTGTATTAAAGAAACAACTTGTATTGCAGAACTAACTGCATGCAAAGATAGTGGAGAATAAAGATACGTATTTTACAGTCTATTAATTCTGCACCATCTTAGAGAGAGCAGGATACTTAGTGGATTACTTAGGCTAATAACTTCTCTAGGCTACTCAAGGTCATATATAATGGATGATGTACCTTTCTGTGTACATACGCATTATGAATGGCTTTTGGGCACTTGTGATCAGGTCTAGGAATTGTGCCAATTTACTGTTGAAAAGAAAGATGGTATTTAGCATTTGCATGCTAAATTTTATACTTTTACACTTTTCAAGGGGAATTTTAACTAATTAACCCTTATGCATCTACAGAGTACAAGTGTTATCACAGATGTGACATACAGTTACAAGAAGATCAGTGATTTTTTTCTAAGTTAGAACCAAAGCCAGAATTAAACCTCAAATTGCTCACTCAGTCTTGTGATCAGTTTATTAGGACGTGTTACTCCATTATCCCCAACAACAGAGAGTTCCTAAAGTAAGGACTAGGTTAGTAGAATCCAAGAGTTTTGATCTATTTATGGGCTTGAGAGTCCAGATACAATGTCTTTATAGGATGAGCAAGTAAATATAAATTGGAAGTATTCTATCATCAAGTCTTTCTGGGAACATCTTGGTATTGCTAGCAAGGGTCCACAGCTGCTGGGTGTTATCTGCTTTTGTTGCTTGTAAGTTTACCCCACTTAATTGCCTTTTATACTAACTAAACACATATATGGCAAGGAATTGCAGGTGATTAAGCAGAAAGTTGGAGGCCACACTGAATGTTACAGAAAGGAGGCACTGAAGATTATGAAGTGTTTTTCTTTTGCTAAAAATTTGTGAATTGTCATTGGCTGGGCTGAGGAATATCTTCTGAAAGTTTGGTTTGCTAATTACCTTTGAATGTAGAAATGCTCTTTATAAAGTCAGTTATGGAAAAAAAGAAGTTAGAAAGTTCTGGTTTCAATGGACAGACTTATAAAGCTATATTACACAACTGGGAGAGAACAGCTTCAGACAAAGATCCTAGATGGCTCTGTTTTCAACCCAGTAACCTGTCTTCAGGAAGCAGTTTATTTTTGATCAAGGGATTACTTTGGTTCAGTTCTTAGTTTAGAAAATATCTAATGGCTAAGAGTTGTTGGGTTTTTTTGTGGATTCTTCTGATCTTCATTACTTTTTTAAAGATTATGCACACTGTCACTTTCTGTTTCTCTTACAGTTTCTACTCATTTGGAAGTATTCCTAAGTGTTAAGGGTGCTTGCTCTTTTGCAGTCTCCTCCTTCAAGCCTATTCCAAAGAGGATTGACTTGCAACTGAGAAAATGGGGTGCTCTTACCTATTTTAAGCTGGCACAAACTCCAGAGAAAGATAGGGGGGAAAAAAAAATGCCAACCAACCAGAACAATAGATCTTGTCCCCCAGCTTCTGGCACCCATTAAAAAAGAGGCAGAAGTAGTAGCCCATATAGACAAATTGTTTCATTCGACTTGCCAAATTTTGTTTTCTCAGGCCTGATATAGTCACAGGTAAATTGAAGCAGTTCTCTTTGCTTAGCTGTTGACTTCCCCACATGTGGAGTTTTAGAATAACTTCAAAATCCAGGTTAGAATCCAGCATGACTTTGCAGTACGGTTTAGATCTGTTGCAATTATCTTTACCTACGTGATGATCTGTGTATCAATAAAATCCTACAAAGGAATATTTTTTTCCCTTAAAGTATGGACAGCATAAGCCAACTATATGGAAATCTATCTCAGCATTTTATTGGAGTTTTCTTCATAAATGCCTTTTATTCTAATCACCGGTAGTGTGCATTCATATACACATTAAAGTCCAATTTTTGTTTTCTTACAGATCAGATTTTAGAATAACTTGTGTCTGCTGAATAAACCAAGTTGTAATGAAAGCAAGAAAGACCTCAGAATGATATAGGATGTGCATTTGAGGTAACTCTAATACTTAGTACTATTTTAAAGTTGTAAAAATGAGAGAATGACAGTATAATGTTACTATGAAAGCACAATTCATCTTGTGTCTTTCAGTTTCCCACACTACCAGACCTATTAAGCTTCTGAAACACTCTGAAGAGGCTTTAAAACAAATTGTTGATGAGAGAAGTTCCCATCAAAGTCCATTAGCATAAATGAGTGGTCACGGTAGCTGCGGCTGACGTATTCCATATCTTTTCCCTAGAAGAGTAAATCTGAACTTCTGAAGAGCTTTCAGGCTCAATCTTTTTCAAAGATGATCTCAGAATGCCATTTAGCATTCCCATTGCTTTTCATGCGCTTGTGAGAGGAGCTGGCTTTCTGAGCATAAGGTGTACATTCCTCTTAGTAGATACAATAAAAAAATGATGGGAGGAAGGGAAGGAACTGAAGCGTGGCTGCAGAGAAGACTCTTCCCTGCATTCTCAGCTTCGCATAGCTATAGAACAAAAGGCCTCTCAAAATGGTTGCCGGGTCTTCTACAGAAGTCAAACTCCAATTCTCCTGTAAGAAGTAAAAATATCAATGCAGGAGATATCATAAACTTATGGCATAATAAACCTAATATTAATCATGGTGATACTTTGCATTTCAAAACAGGACTGATCTACTCAGACTACTTATTTAACACGCACAATTTGAACAAACTTTAGAGAAATTTTAGCATCTCCTTGAATAATGTGGATGCAGTATAAATTTTGAAGTTCTTTTGTGGCAATATTTCAGACTTTTTTAGAATAAAGGAAAAGTAAGCATTTAATCTTCGTTCAGAGTTCAAAGGTATAAATACACCATTTTTTAAATTGCTAATTATGTCTTAAAACTATTCATTTAAAAAGGAGCAAGGTTAAAACACAGATATATCAGAATGCATTGCTTGTTCATGAAAGCATAAGCTTGTAAATAAGGGAATAAAATTAGTGCCCTTTACAGCAGTAGTAGAACATCTGTTGTCATGCCCATGTTCCTTTGCGAGTTGGTTGTGTTCTTCTGGTAAACAGCACTTATCAGAAACTGTATTTTCATTGTGACTAATGGCTTGATATTCCACACTAGCCTGGACCTTGCAATTTTATCTAGTATCTCTTTGATAATGCAGTATCAGTTACCAAATGTTGATCCAAGTAAGATTCCTTTCTCTCTGTTCACATAAGCACAAATTTGTAGCTTTGGGATATCCAACAAATTATCTCATTAATCATTAGATATGCATTAGCGGGTGGTGTTATTCCAAATGTAATAAACTAAGAAAAGGTGGATTAGAGCTTGTGATAACATTGAGGTCCTTCTACTGTTCTTCCCCATTGTCATTCACATGATTCCTGAGTTGTTCACAATTACAGTTGATCTTTTTTCCATAGAAAAAGAAAGTCCTGCTGTTACTTGAACTCTGCTGTGTTTTGTCTCAGAAGCTGTTTTTGTGTAGTCACTGGGACTAGTCTGACTACAAGAATATTAGCTTTTGCTGGTATTTTGAATCAATGGGGGTTTTGAATCAATGTTGTTTTCTTGGTTTTTTTTTTTTTTACCAGTTCACATCATCGGGGAGTCTTGGATTATTTTCCAAGAGCAGCGGAAAAATAAGTCTGAAATATTATTGGAAAGAAACTTCTGGTAGACGCTGATACTCTCACCTCTTCCTTTCCTTGGTACGAAATTCTGAAGCCTATATATGCTTTCACTTTAGTAAAGCTGTTTTTTACCATATGTGCAGTCTTTTTGTCTGTTCTGTCAGAATCTTTTGCATTTTGCTCTTGCTGTCTTCTCATAATCTTACAAGCTGATATGGAAGCTACTATTCTGAAGCTGCTCCTTTCCCACAAGTGGACTCTACAAACCTTGTTTTTGCAGTTTGCCTGTTTCTCAGAATAATGCATTTGTCAGGATTTTCAGTCGGATGATGCCACAGGACTTGGAATAAAGCCTGATTAAACAGCTGAGAAACTTGTTCTGTTTTTCTGGAAACAACCTCTGGTTATCCATCTTTTCTTGCACATTTAACATTTCTCTTTTGTAAGAGAGTAAATGTCTGTTGACTGGCAAGTTATTCTCAGTAAATATGTATTCACCTCTGATTTTATTGTGACTAAATATCTTTTCAGCTGATTGATTTATGGAACTCATTCACATTTCAATCAGATGAAGCCTTGTATAAAGTATGAAGTAGTTTACATATGTACAACCTAAAAATATATGCCTGAACTACTGAACAGACAATGATGATTTGAGGAAAAAAAAATAGGTTTAGATCCAAACACCATTTCTAGGAACGCTGTTTTTGAAACATAAAAGGAATTGTTGCTGTACTGTAAAAGAATACCATAACGTGTGAGTATCTTTCTTTTAAACGGATACTGTTGTCTGTATTTATAATACAGTGCTTGAATATTCACATGTAACTCTTCATGAAGTTCGCCTAAAAATCCATACATAAAGGCCATAATTGAGATGTGGCAATTATGGACTGGAAGACTGTCATTTTCCACTGAACACTTAAAGCAAGCAAATCAATGCCAACATATTGCTGTTAGCATGAAAGTGTATTAAACAGTAAGCGTAAATCACAAAGCTATTACGGTGCCTTAATATGGAGTAGTTCAAGAACAGGTCACAAGGAGGAGAGCTACTTATAACAAGTATGATTCTGGCTTCAGACATATTTAAAGTTTTATTGCATGAGGATTTTATTTGATCGTTCTGGTTCATTCATTCTGGGCTGTTTAACTCTTTGCTGCTGTTTAGCCTGTGAACTGTCTTCACTGGTGGCTACTCCTATGCTTTGGTGTTTGACCACATCAGGCAAAACTTCTGGACTTAACTCTAGCTTTTGATGTGACACAGTCATCAGGATGTACGTAAGCGTGCACCACAGCTGTGTCAGCAGTCAGCCAGGATGGTTTAGGTGGCCTTCAGGGAAGTTTAAGCTTAGCTAGCAGAAGGGTAAAGGCTTTAAAATGCAGCCTCTCCTTTATCTGTGAATATCTATGATCTCAACCTGTTTCAGTGTACTCTGTATTATACCAGTTGCTACAGGAGAATGTGAAGTTCGTTCTTGCTTACTGATGTGGAGACGAAAGAGGAGACATGAGGATACAGTACAGTTTCCTTTAGAGATTCTGGGAGCTCTCCATATGCACTTTGATTGGTAGCCTCTCTTCAGGCAGTAATGGTGCCCAAATGGTTGGCTTTTAAATAACAAATGCATAGAGAGATGTGACTACATTTTGCAGGCACTTTACTATTACTTATTGATTCCGAAAGTTACTTATGAAATATGAAACCTGAAAGACGTTGGGCTCAAACGTGTGACACAGGTAAAGCAAACTGAGCTAACCAAGAACGAATGGTAATGCTTTGGGAAATGATCCTGAATGCAATGCGACAATTTCTCAGCGTGTCCGGGGAAATTAATTTGTATGCCATGGCGCAGATAAAGCACCCCTGTTTGCCCCTGTCTCAAATGTGGTTAGCGGTAGAGAGTTGTTGTAGATTGAATAACACAATGTAACAAATGCATTTAAGAGCAAAACAGCCTTCAAGCATGCAGCACGCCCATTTCTGGAAGTCTAACTTCAGGAGAGCCAGAGAAATGCGTTTATTGCAGACAACTGAAAACTCAAGATCAGGAACTTAGAATAAAAATATCTTCAAAGATGTAAATGCAGCAGCTTTATTACAGTCACACAGTATCTTCAGTAGATACAGAGTACTTTGATAATGCCACTATTTTTCAAGTCCATAGTAGTATATATTGTACATAAAACAACCATTCTTTTCCTACCTACAAAAATGTTGTATGTATTTCCTTCTCTCAAATTTATAGCACAGAAGACATGTTTCTTTTAAAGTAGCTGTATATATAAAGTACCTAGCAGCAAAGTGGCTTTCAAGTCATTTTTACAGCACTGTAGGGCAGTATCTTTTTAACAGCCTTTTCTCAGACCGTAGAAATGCTGCCATTAGAGGCAGGCTGTGGTTGTCTGTATCTGCTGGAAAGAAGGAAGTCTTCTACTGAGGTGAAGACTCTTCATTAGAGAACACAGCTTTATATATTCAACTGCAAGTCTAGTAGTTTTTGAAGTTTTCAGAGACATTTAAAAAGAGTAAAGCAGGAAAGCCCTTTTTATTCAATTGTTGTAAGCAGCATGGGCCAAATTCACAAGGCTATCAAATTCAGTGTACACCTACCTCTTTGTCTTTACCCAGACTGTTACAGACCTCCATATGTATTACCTAGTTACCTTAACAGGTGTTCTCTGTCACTCAAACTTTGATCTGTGAAACAAGGCAAACTTTTATATTAAGGAATACAGCATCAACTTTGGAAACACAGCTCCCGTGCATTGGTATGATTGTGTGAAACACTACCTCCTGGTGACTGTAAGAGTAGCCTTGTGTTCCATCTGCCACCTTGAAGTACCAGAAAGCAACGCCTGTTCAAGTTCCTGTCAGCACACCTTGCTTGTACTTCGGAATCAGACTCATATCTGAGCAGCAGCAGCATTCAGAATCCTGCATGAGGCATCTCCTGTCCCTTGCAGATTTGCCCTGGGTTCAGGCAGACATCCCTTCTGATCATCTCAGGATGACATTTGACATGAATACATGAATAGTCTTAGCCTGCTGCACACGTGGTTTCGGACTGATGGCTTTTCTAGTCACAAGTGCAGGTGAACTGGAACAGAACTGAGCTGAGTGTAGCAGACTTGTACTGAGAGAAGACTGCTAGTATAACCACTGCCCCACCATTCCTACAGATGGCCGCTTGCCAATTTCCATTTTCCCAGTAGGTCCTGAGAGGTGGTAAGTGCAGACTGCAGGCAAAAGGCATCTAGGAGGCAGCAACTAAATCCCTGCCACAAAAGCAGGAGTGATGAGAAGAACTGATGGATATTGTTTTGTTTGGGAAGTGGTGGCTACTGGTTTCATAGACTAACAGCTTTGTAAACTGCTCTCACCTGAGATTTATCTAATGGTCCATTCTGCAAGCTGATTTCGTTATGGCAGCAATGAGTTGCAAGAGGCAGGCAAAGGAAGCTGAAATTGGGCTTGGAGATTTAAGTGTTGCAGAAGGGAAAATCAGTGTTCCTTCTGTTGAAAATTGATATTTCAAATAATTTGACTTAGAAAGTGAAGAAAATAATGTTTGCAGAAAAAGGTCTAGTTCTCCATGAAAGCATCTGGTATATCACATTCCAGCATCTTTTAGGGGTAAAAGTAGGAATGTGTGCAAGCATGGACAACATAGTTGTATTGTTTTTTTCACATACAGGCAGAAAGGCTTAGCAATTCCCATTTTCATACTTCAGAAGATATCTGAAATGATCTCATATTTAATATTCATTTTACAAAAAAATGATATGCCGAGAAAATACTATTCCACAATGCTAATTCTTTTAAAAGATATGTGCATGAGAAGAGTGTTGGAAAAAATTGTTTGGCAGCCTAAAATGGAATGCAGTCTAATCTTTGAAACACTCTTCCTGCATGGAGGAATAAACTTTATTTCCTGGATAAATACACTTTTATTAGCTTTGTTGAAAACCCTTCTGAAACACACAAAGATATTTTAGAGTACACAATATACTGCCTTGTCAAATGAGCAAGAGACTGCTGCCCTGCACTCCCAGACCACTGTACATAGCACCTGCAAAGAGTTTTCTAAAACATGTCAAATGCACAGCCTCCTCAGGGAGACAAAATCCTATCTTGCAGGAAAAGAGGGCAACAGAGAAGTTGCTTAGGCTGCTACATCACTGAGAAATAGCGACTTGCTTTCAAATAAGGATTGAAATGAATAATTTGAAGCCCATCAGTTCTGCCAACCTTGTCAAAGTCTGGAAATCTGCCATCTTCCAAAGCCGTTCAAGATGGAAAAAAGAGAAAACTACAGCACCTCTGTGGCATACCAGAAGCCAGTTGTTCGTTACCAGTGAGTGGCAGTTTGTCAGGATACTTCTGGAGAATCCTGCCAGGGCCTGTATAGAAATAATTGTTCTTCTATTTTTGCAGCTTGAACTTGTTATCCTCAGTGATCCTAAGTGCTCCAGGGAGCTCTGTGAAACTGCTTCTCAGATCTTTGCTCTTGTTCCATGTTGGTTTTTTTGTTTGTTTGTTTTTCCCAGATTTTGAGCAAATGCCACACATTTTATTTTATTGCCTCCAGTTAATGAAACCACTCCCCTTCTGCATGTGTGTTGCTATGGCAACAAATTGATTGCGTTTTGTAATGCCTGTTAGCATAACTCTAACTTTTCTATGCAGTATCTGAGATGCACGTTAAGATGCACTACAAAAAAGAAATACTAAATCTATCCATGAGCTCTCCCCCATCATCACTGCAATAAGGCTTTGAGATTCAGTTTGTTGTCTTTGTAGGTGGCATGGCATCTCCTGTTGACTATGAAGCTTCTTCTGATCTTCACACATGTAATATCCGGAATCCTTCACCTACATGAACAGTCTGGTATTAAAACATCTCTAAAACAAGATTAAATTTTCTGAATATGGGACAGAGCACGAGCAGATTTGCTGCATGTTATAAAAGCTCATAATTGAGGCTCATTCTGTGGCAGAATCTATTACGTCCATAGACATGTTTTCCACCAATCCTTCCCACAGTGGTATAAGGTTCTGATCAGCTGCTGATGCAGCAGTACTCTTTCAAATCTTACCGTGCCAATTGTTGTGCATGTAATGACTTCTCAAGGGAGAGGCTGGTGAGGCAGGGAATGAGAAGTTGTGTGGAAAAATACAGATCATGGCCTTGACTTGCGACTAAGGCATGATAAGAGGGAGTGTGAGAGCTTGGGAGCATGGGCAGGCTGCCCTGGCCTGTGCTTCTACATGCAGCTGTAACTTGCTCATGGGCAGCTGCTCTGTAGCTGCACCTTGCTTATGTGAAGGATATATATCTGGCCCCTGTGCTATGGG